TACGGACGGCCGGTTCGGGCGGCCCCCACTGCCCGTACGGACGGCGGTCCCTTATCTTTGCCTGCTTAATGAAGGAGACCACCACTTCCCGTACGGACGGCTGCCTGCACGGACGGCGCTCCCCTATTTTTGCCCATACCTTATCTTTGCCTTCTTAATGAAGGAGGACCCCTTTGCCTGTACGGACGGCCGGTTCGGGCGGCCCCCACTGCCTGTACGGACGGCGCTCCCCTATTTTTGCCTTGTTAATGAAGGAGGACCCCACTGTCCGTTCGGACGGCCGGCTCAGCGGTCCCTTGTCTTTGCCTCCTTAATGAAGGAGACCACCCTTGCCCGTACGGCCCCCACTGCCCGTACGGACGGCACTGGACCCAACTGTCCGTACGGACGGCCGGGTTCGGCAGCCAACTGCCTGTACGGACGGCTCCGCGTGCAAGAGGACCCCCTGCCCGTACGGACGGCCGGTTCGGGCGGCCCCCACTGCCCGTACAGACGGCGCTCCCTTATCTTTGCTTTCTTAATGAAGGAGACCACCACTGCCCGTACGGACGGCCGGTTCGGGCGGCCCCCACTGCCCGTACGGACGGCGGTCCCTTAGCTTTGCTTATTGACGGAGACCACCACTGCCCGTACGGACGGCCGGTTCGGGCGGCCCCCACTGCCCGTACGGACGGCGGTCCCTTATCTTTGCCTTCTTAAGGAAACCACCACTGCCCGTACGGACGGCCGGTGCGGGCGGCCCCCACTGCCCGTACGGACGGCGCCATGCGGACGGCGCTCCCCTATCTTTGCCTTCTTTATGAACGAAATACTTTACGTCCAATTGGACCCATACCTTATCTTTGCCTTCTTAATGAAGGAGGACCCCACTGTCCGTATGGACGGCCGGTTCGGGCGGCCCCCACTGCCCGTACGGACGGCGCTCCCCTATCTTTGCCTTCTTAATGAAGGAGGACCCCACTGTCCGTACGGACGGCCGGTTCGGGCGGCCCCCTGCCTGTACGGACGGCGGTCCCTTATCTTTGCCTTCTTAATGAAGGAGACCACCCTTGCCCGTATGGACGGCCGGTTCGGGCGGCCTCCACTGCCCGTACGGACGGCGCCGTGCGGACGGCGCTCCCCTATCTTTGCCTTCTTAATGAAGGAGACACCTTACGTCCAATTGGAGCCCATACCTTATCTTTGCTTTCTTAATGAAGGAGGACCCCGCTCCCTTATCTTTGCCTTCTTAATGAAGGAGACCACCACTGCCTCTACGGACGGCCCCCACTGCCCGTACGGACGGCTCCGTGCGGATGGCGCTGTGCGGACGGCGCTCCCCTATCTTTGCTTTCTTAATGAAGGAGACACCTTACGTCCAATGTGGGCCCATACCTTATCTTTGCCTTCTTAATGAAGGAGGACAATGAAGGAGGACCCCACTGTCCGTACGGACGGCTGGTTCGGGCGGCCCCCTGCCCGTACGGACGGCGGTCCCTTATCTCTGCCTTCTTAATGAAGGAGACCACCCTTGCCCGTATGGACGGCCGGTTCGGGCGGCCCCCACTGCCCGTACGGACGGCGCCGTGCGGACGGCGCTCCCCTATCTTTGCCTTCTTAATGAAGGAGACACCTTACGTCCAATTGGGGCCCATACCTTATCTTTGCTTTCTTAATGAAGGAGGACCCCGCTCCCTTATCTTTGCCTTCTTAATGAAGGAGACCAATACTGCCCGTACGGACGGCCCCCACTGCCCGTACGGACGGCTCCGTGCGGATGGCGCTGTGCGGACGGCGCTCCCCTATCTTTGCTTTCTTAATGAAAGAGACACTTGGTCCAATTTGGGCCCATACCTTATCTTTGCCTTCTTAATGAAGGAGGACCCCACTGTCCGTATGGACGGCCGGTTCGGGCGGCCCCCACTGCCCGTGCGGACGGTGGTCCCCTATCTTTGCCTTCTTAATGAAGGAGGGGCCCCCTGCCCGTACGGACGGGGGTCCCTTATCGTTGCTTCTTGATGAAGGAGACCACCCTTGCCCGTATGGACGGCCGGTTCGGGCGGCCTCCACTGCCCGTACGGACGGCGCCGTGCGGACGGCGCTCCCCTATCTTTGCCTTCTTAATGAAGGAGACACCTTACGTCCAATTGGGGCCCATACCTTATCTTTGCCTTCTTAATGAAGGAGGACCCCGCTCCCTTATCTTTGCCTTCTTAATGAAGGAGACCACCACTGCCTGTACGGACGGCCCCCACTGCCCGTACGGACGGCGCCGTGCGGACGGCGCTCCCTTATCTTTGCCTTCTTAATGAAGGAAACACCTTACGTCCTATTGGGGCCCATACCTTATCTTTGCCTTCTTAATGAAGGAGGACCTCATTGCCTGTACGGACGGCCGGTTCGGGTGGCCCCGTACGGACGGCGCTCCCCTATCTTTGCCTTCTTAATGAAGGAGGACCCCACTGTCAGTACGAACGACTGGTTCGGGGGGCCCCCTGCCCGTACGGACGGCGGTCCCTTATCTTTGCCTTCTTAATGAAGGACCCGCCACCCGTATCGGCGCTCCTTATCTTTGCCTTTTTCATGAAGAAGGACTCCGGAGTCCAATCTGGGCCCACTCCGCAAACCACTGCCTGCAACGGTGCTACCTTATCTTTGCCTTCATAATGAAAGAGGACTCGGACGTCCAAGCTAGCCCAAGCGCGTATATGACTAGCCGATCTAGGCCTACCTTGGAGGCCGTTTCCAAGCGTCCATATCCTTTAACTTTGCCTGCTCTATGAAGAGCGACTCCGGAAGTCCTAAAGACCAGAGTAAGCCCAACTTTATGGGGCTTCACGTTCTAGGCTTCGGGATTCAGGTGTTACGCTTTCGGCTTTAGGCCTTAGGCTTTAAGACTTCGGAATCGCTTAGGACAAAGTGGGCCCACTCCGCAAACCACCTTAGGACAAAGTGGGCCCACTCCGCAAACCACTGCCTGCAACGGTGCTACCTTATCTTTGCCTTCATAATGAAAGAGGACTCTAATGTCCAAGCTAGCCCAAGCGCGTATATGACTAGCCGATCTAGGCCTACCTTGGAGGCCGTTTCCAAGCGTCCATATCCTTTAACTTTGCCTGCTGAATGAAGAGCGACTCCGGAAGTCCTAAAGACCAAACTAAGCCCAACTTTATGGGGCTTCACGTTCTAGGCTTCGGGATTCAGGTTTTAGGCTTTCGGCTTTAGGCCTTAGGCTTTAAGAGTTCGGCATAGGATATTAGTGCCTTAGGACTTCTAGGCTCTAGAATTTGACTTTTTTGTTCCAGCTTCTGTCAAGTCTCCTGCACGTGCTACCATTTGTGTGCCCTGTTGCTTTTTTTGCTCGAGCCTCGATTGGTATTGTAGCATTGTAGCGCTCAACACGCTGTAGCCGACAGCCCTGGCGCATGCGGATGTCGACGTGCCGGCCACTCCTGGCCTTGGGAATCCAGGGAGCACTCCATCTCGAGCTTTGTGCGTGGTATGCCCATGTGTCATCGTTGCTGTAAACTGTCTTGTAACGCAACGCCTTGGCGAACACATTGCATAATAGCTGCCGCATGAAATGCATGCTTCATGAAAATAGGTTACTCGGCTCAAATCTTGTGTTTGAAATTTCGTAGAGAAAAGCCATGGCTTCCAACGCTGCCCAGCCGTCGGAGGCGGAGGGGCCAGAGAAAGCTCTGAGCGTGCAGCCTTGGTACTGCTGCCGTATCCTCGACAGGGCCAAGTGTTGGGAGCTTCGTGGGACAACCACAAAGTACCGTGGTCGTGTTGCTCTGGCAGCAAAAGGCACGAGCCAACTCTGGGGCGAGGCTACGATTGCTGCCTCCGAACTCGTAGCACACAAGAACGAGCATGGCGACTTTTGCCCAGTTCCCGGGAACGAAGCAAATTTTCCAGGATTGGCGGGCAACTACGAGAAGCATGCCGTGCGCGATTTGACCACGCTCCCTTACCCCGTACTGTGGGCGTGGCACCTGCAGGACGCGATTTGGTATGCTGATCCAAAGGGGTACCGTCATCCACCGGGTCAGATGAGCTGGATTAACCTGCGTGCCAAGACACAGACCGAGCCCGTTGACCTCGACAACAAGCTGCCCAAGAAGCGTCCCGCCAGCAAGGCATTGGTTCCTGAGAACAGCAACGACCTAGGCACGGAGCCCAGGCGGCTATCAGGCAAGCAGCCCGCTGCAACTTCTTCCGTCCTGCCAGCAAAGAAAGACAAGAAGGCTTCAACAGAGAGCCAAGCGGTCGCATGATATTGCTGCTTGAGAATGGTGTGGGCAGCAGTTGCTGAAAGATACAGTAACAGAGATAGCCCTGCGGCGGCTGCAAATGATTTTACAGGCATGCTGCTCTGGCTAATTCTGACAGTCTTGTGAGAACTTTCTTGCTCGCGGACATCTGCTGCACAAGAAAAATTGATTGGAGACTGCTTCCGCAGCTGCAATTACACCTGGCACTAGCGCCGCGCTTTTTTTAGTCGTGCTACTATTACTAGTACTACCACTGCTACTACTACTACTACTACTACTACTACTACTACTACTACTACTACTACTACTACTACTACTATTACTACTACTACTACTACTACTACTACTACTACTACTACTACTACTACTACTACTACTACTACTACTACTACTGCTACTATTCGACCACTATTGCGACGGCTACTGCTGCTCCTGCTCTTACCTATACGAATACTAGTAACTACCAGTGTCTAGATTTCGTTCGATTACCAGTCCAATATTACTGCTGCTTACTATCACTATTCATAGTGCTACTCCTACATTACTACCGCTGCTACTGCTACTACATGTCGCTTGCTCGAGATACTGCAAGCAGGAGTTACTCTAAGATTCTTCTGCCTGCTGCGCATCTCGCTCAGGTGACCTCATAACAAGACTCGCTGGATCATGATAGCAATGCGGTTGGGCTCCTGCAGCTTTGTTGCTCAAGCGACTATACATCTACTTTGCTTATTCTTTGTTGCCATGGGACGCCAGCACCAACATCGCAAAGGGGTTGCGACCAAGGGTGACAAGGACAAGAAGCAGATCAAGAGGGACACCATTCCCAAGTATGCCCTGTTTCCGAAACAGTGCCTCGCGGCCTACCCCGACCCCGAGGGGAACCCTGTCTACGTCGGTGACAAGGAAGATGCGAAGGAGCTCTTTGACCCCGCAAATCTGCTTGCGACCCGCTCGCAGAAAAATGCGGAGATGCTGGCCCGACCTGGCTGGGGGCTTTCCTTTGCCGCTTCGGCGGCCAATCACTGCGTGAGGGAGCTGGTGAGGCAGACGCACAAGCCCAAGAAGACGTCGGCCGTCCAATTTGCGACCTTGCTGGAGCAGCCTCGTGGAAAAGCCTTTCAAGAAGCAGTTGCTACCTTGGACATTGGGAAAGACGGCAGCGCGCCGCGCAAGGCGGTCGCCAAGGCCATGAAAAGCTACCTCGGCTTCCTTCAGGATGGCGGCGAGGAGTTGCAAAATGCCTTGGTTGGCCTGGCAACCGAAAGCGGCCGCTTGTATTTGGGAGCGATGCATCTGTTGGAACAAAGAGCTTTCGTTTTGAAGCCGAAAGCATGGGCCAAGAAATTGCAGCGATCCAACCGCGTTGACGCTGCGTTCAAGAGCTGGCTGGCCGAAGCAGACAATGTATCCAAACTCGAGGATGCTCTTGTCGATGTCTTCCTGAGCAAGATGAAAGCTTCCAAGGCCGCCACACAGAAGTGGCAAGGAAGGCATGCCAAGGTTTCCTCCAACGCTGCATCTGGAAGTTCGCAGCAGTCCTCCGTCTCCTCGAGCAGCGCGAGCGCCCACGATGCGAAGTCCGAGGAGCCGCGCCAGCGCAGAAAGCGGTGCCGCAAGCATGCTCGTGCAGACAAGAAGCGCCGATCCTCCTCTCCTGCTTCCGAGCGACCCCCGGCAGCAGCTGCTTTCACCCTCGGCTCCAGCGACCAGGAGTCGGAGCCGCCCACCAATCCCATGGCGGACTGGGCCAAGGCCGACGTCCAGGTTTTCCTTCGTAGCCTGGATGGGTTGCACGCAGGAAAGAAGAATCCAAAACGCGCTGCCCAGAAGCTGACCCTTGCTGACTTGGTGGGCCTCTTCGACACTGTGCCCCAGGACATCTTGGAGGCCTACGGTCTTGCGTCGGCCCTCACGAAGCTTAAGCAGATGGAGCGGCTACCGAAGCAGAACAAGCTCGCTGAGCTCCTCGGCTGTCTGGATCGGCTTGCTGCGGAAGCCAAGAACATACATGGTATTTCCGAGTCGCTGAGTTCCATCAAGATTCGTCGCATTGCTGGTGTGACGGACGCGGGTGCCGCGATCATTCGGGACGACGACTTGTACGACGAGGTCGTGCTGGAGCACAGCGACGAGACCTTGCAGGATGTGCTTCTTCGCTTCTTCCAAGCTCAAAGCTCCATGGGCGAGATCCAGAACTGGAACGTGAAGCGCCTCGCCGAGAATGACAAGTGCGAGGACGTGACGATCGAGGACACCTCGGCAGCCGCCTGCCCAAACGTGCTGCTCATGCGGAAGGGCGGCTGAGTCTGCTGTTTTCCAAGCGGTTCACAGATGATATGGGTTCTTCCACTGGGAGCTGCTCATGTCAATTTGAAGCCTCTAGGCACTGCGTACGCATCTAGCTGTACTTGTGGCTGCTTTCCGGAGGCATGTGTTCGTCTTTTGTGCCGAACCGAACCGGACCACTGGACTCTCCATGGTGAAAGTGCGGTTCGCGGGAAGATCTGCTGAGCCGTATCTCTAAAAGGTTTGGATAGGACGACGTCTGCTGTCTCGTGCGCGCAGCTCTAGGATTGGGGTCGGTTGTGCCGTTTCATGCTTTACCTTTGTTTGGTTTTGTGTGCTAGCTCTGTCTTTTCATCTGTTTGTCCGTGCGGTTATCCCTTCAGTGAAACTGCTTTCTCTTAGTTAGCGTCTGGTCCTCTTAGCAACGTGAAGTCACTGTCACTCTAAACAGCCCATGGCTCCTTGCTCGTCACCCTCCGGCGAGGGTGGAATGACTGCCAGGCACATACTGAACATATACACATCCTAGCATTCTTCCTAGTGCTATTCTTAGTCTTACTTTGTATATATATATATATATATCTGTGTACGTACTCCTATTTCTCCCCAATATTTGGCGAGGCTGGAACGACTCCCAGGCACATACTGAGACATATACAGATCGTCGCATTTTTCTATTCTTCGTTTTAATTTGTGTGTCTAGGTATACTACTCCTGTTGCTCCGCAATATTTTGCTTCCAGCAAGACTTTCTATCATTTGCACGAACCTTTTGCAACGCCGTCTGTATGCTGTAGGTTCATCTACTTACCTTGGATTCGATCATATTACTTCACATGCACTTCCTGCTTGTAGCAGCCGACGCCTGTACGACTTAGCCCTGTGCTGCCTAGCAATTACTTTTTGCGCCTGCAATCGGTTTGTCCGTCTGCTGCCCGACGCTGCTTCTTCATTGCGCTCAAGTCTTCACGCACCCTGTGCGGGGATATTGTAAGACCCTCAGCTTGCGATGGCGCCTCGCAGATGCAGTGGGTTCCCGCAGCCTGACGGGTCCACGGTCTCCTGCTGCTTTCATCCTGGAGCGCCTGGAGAAGCAGCACAAGGCAAATTTGATGGTCGCTGTGTTTGGTGCAGCCCCGGAGAGCTTGGACGCCGCCTCGCCAGCCCGCAGCTGAAGAAGCTTTTGGTGTACTCACTGCTGCAGTTACAGACCGCAGAAGCTGCGTTTCGTCAAGCTGTAAACAGGATCCCAGAGGAGCATCGGCAGGACATCTTGGCGGCGCTACGGGAACGCAGCGAGGCCTTGGGCCAGGACGCGGTGGCGACGCCAGCCGCCGCGGCTGTCCTGGACGACGTCCCGCCCGATTCGGAGTCAGCTTCAGACCAGTTATCCACGGATGAGGTAGAAGAAGTGCCGCTGCTTTCCGCAGACTACGACATAGACGCTTCGGCCAAGCTTGGCCAAGCTGACCCTGACCCTGAACTTCAGTTTCAGGAAGAAAACAGAGCATGGGATCTGCCGGTACTACCTCACTCAGATAGCGACGACAGCCCCCGGCAGCATGCTGCAGAAGCGCCTCGAGCCAAACGTCGGGGTGGTGTGCTGCGCCGCCCTGCAGCACTCGATGCACTGGAGCAACCCATCGGACCCGGCTTGGCATTGGCCGGCGCCCTCGCCTCTCAACCGATGCGACGACCTGCTGCAGCAAAACGCGTGCCGAAAAGCTCCGAACGCTGCAAAGGCTCTCAAGGCCGCGAATGTACTTTTTCCACTTTAGCGCTAGGGCAGGCAGCAACAGTGCAGCCCTTCAGGAAGCAGACCCATTGCTTGTTCTGCAGCGACACGACCTTGGACCATGTACTGGCGCACCAACGTGGAGCACAAGTCACCAAGACTTTACGACAACTTAAGGCTCTAAGCTCCGAGAAGTACGAGGAAGCTTTGTGCAATCTCCGCCAACGTCAGGGTGACAATTTTGCTTCGGACTTTGCCGCACGTGTCGAGCGAGCAGAACGCAAGAGCCAGACGACTTCTTCGCCGGCCGTCGACCAGTGGCGGACAGCCCTCCAGTTTCGCCAGCGCGTCGCCGGTGCGCTGGACCGTCGCGCAGCTGCAGCGCACACTGTGAAAGTGCGAAGAGATCGCGGTCTAGTTCGACGGAAATTTTTCTGCCCACAACACCTCAGCCGGCATTATACTGAAGCAAATGTAGCCGAAGAGCTGGCACTCGCACCGCCTGCTGCAGACGTCGCTTTCAATGACTCTGGTCTTCCGGCACCCGATATCTCTGAGCGAGCAAAAATGGCGGAGCAATGGTGCAAGCTTGGTTCGTGGCGCATATGTCGTCAATGCCACAGTGTGCGCCCGCGTCCTTTCCAACCGGGAGATTTGCGGCGCGTCGCCCAGCCCACCGTCAAGACCTGCACTCTGTGTCGGCGCGGTGCGCGCGTGCCGCAGCCAGGTGATGTGCCCGAACCTTTGCGCGAACTCTCTGCAGACGTGGTGCTAGCCCTGCGGCCACTGGACGTGGACACTGGCAACTATGAGCGAGCTCCACACGGTTACCGCGTCCATGCATCCATGGTCCGGTTTGCATGGGCCGCCAAAGACGTCGAAACCAAGATCGCGCAGCTGTCGCACGCGCGGGAGCGGAAGCAGGCCAAGCGGGCATTTCGCTATCTGACAGAATCGGAGCAGGGCCGGTCGACTTCGGCTTACGCTGACTTCGTGGAACGCCATCGCCGCTTCTTGACTACCCACGAAGACGCCGCGGAGCAGGTGCGAAAGCGGCCGCTTCGCTTTCTGGAGGAACGAGCCCTGGAGTGCGCGCTGTGGCCGCACCTATACTGGGATACGTCCCTCTGCGAAACAGTTGTTCGCCTTACAGACGTGCGCCGGCAGCGGCCGGTCCGGCCGAGGGCCTGCATGTCCAGCGGCGAGGAAGACGCAGGCTGCACCACCTCGGACGAAGACTCCGCGTCTTCTGCGTCCGCAGACAGTGCCGGAGAGCTCGCCTCTGCTGCCGGCCGGCACAGTGTACGCCGCAGTTTCCTGAACAAAGTTCTGGGACCCATCGTGGGATACTCCGAGGACTATGAGCTTTTGCATTTCGTGTATGATTTGGTTATGTGGAGCTCTCTGGGCGGAACGAAGAACTCGGCGAGCAGTATCCCTTTGCGCCTGGCCGTCAAGAAGGCGTCGTGGTCGCCGGAATATTGGCGTACTCGGCATCTGGCCTTGCTGGACCTTCAGCGTCAGGTTGGCCTGCCTCACTTATTTCGGACGCGAGCTCCCTATGAACGCTCTTTTCCATACCATATGTGGGTTCTCCACGAGATGGCCCTGGCCGGACGCGGTCGACTGGAGCTCGCAGGGCCGGAGACACTTCACATGGCTCATGTTCTCAAGGAGCTCGACCGCGGGTATTTCAGCGGCATGAACCGGCGCACTGTCGGTCGCCGAGATCGACAGTGGAAAGACCATCTCCTCGCCGCAGCTGACGGTTCGGATGTTAACACCGTGCTTAATTTCGTTTCTCGCTTGGAGTTTCAAGATGGAAAGCGAAAGACCGGCACCCAGCGATACCACGGGCGCGGCGCGGTTCACTCTCACTCCTTGGACTATCTAGAGAACGTCGGTGCGGTGCGACTGCACGAGAAGCTGAGTGCCTCGGTGCCACAACAAGCGGAAGCCGTGATCACGCGGGGCATCGTCCTAGACTCGCAGCTAGACAGAAATAACAGCAAGGTGGACATCCGAGAAGAACCCTCTGCGTGGGACGACGCAGAGCAGAAGGTGCTCTTACACCACACCGAGGAAGACCATGCCCGCCATGTCCGCGCATATTTTCCTGAAGCTTTGCAGGTAAGCAAGTGCCATGAAGACGTCCTGCAGGCAGACGGGCACGGTGCACTCATGCGCTACGTCGCGACGTACCAGCAAAAGTTCAGTGGGAGCTTTGCTGGTGATTGGTTGAACGACGAAGCGTCAGACTATAGCGTGGCGCGACGCATTCTCTTTGACCACCACCCACTCGAACCTGAAATGTGGCTCAGCCTTGCTGGTGCCATGTTTCCTCAATTTTCTTTCGGCGGCGCTTTGGTGGATATCTTCGCGCCCTACCCCGGCATGGAGCACAAGCCGGACTTTGTCGTTCGCTACGAAACTTGCAGCTGGAGAGGGGAGAGCATGACCTTGCTGGACTTCCTGCGGAAAAGCAATTCTGTCGGCGCCATCCTGCAGTGGGTGCGTCGCAAGCACAAGGCGACGGAGCCAGCTGGCGCCGATTCTGTCGAGGAATTCGCACGCAGCTGTCCCGCTCGTGGGGAGAAAGCTGTTGCCGCCGCTTGCGTCTCCCGCCTGCGAGACCGATACTACGGCCAGTGGCTTGCACTGCACTGCCCGTTTGCTCAGTTAGACGACTTCTTCGTGCCCGAAATCCAAGAGAAGGTCCCGGAAAGATATCAGCTTTTCGCCACCGCGTTGCACTGGCGTGCCGATTATTGGACCAACTTGGACCAACTCCGCGCGGACATGCAGCTGGAAGCATGCAGCAGCGACCACATCGAGACGGTGTGTAACCTCGTGCGTGCCCAAACTCATCTCGTCGGTCGCTACCTCCAAGGAGATCTCGTCCGAGAAGATGTGCGGGATGCCATCGAGGAGGTGGAAGCGGAAGCGGCAGAAGCTCCGCGACCGGCAGACGGCGACGTGCCGTTGGTGCTCGATGCTTCGCAGCGTCGCCTGCAGCGCTTGATCGATCTCAGCGTGCAGCGATCCTTGGACGCTCGAGCGGCAGAGGACGATGACGCGCTGGACGACATCGCTCTGGACGCGCACAATACTAACCGCATATTGGCGGCTGTCGGGCCGCCGGGCTCAGGTAAGACTAGTGTTATAAGATTTCTGCTCGGCCAGGGACTGTAAATGCCCGAAACAATTATTTTGCTTTCAGCTTTGCTTTGCTTTTGCATTCCTGTTTTGTGTTTTTTTTGCTGTTTGTTTTGGGTTGCGTTTTTTTTGCATTCTGATTTTGTGTTTTTTTTGCTGTTTGTTTTGCGTTGCGTTTTTTTTGCATTCTGATTTTGCGTTTTTTTTGCATTTGGGGGTCGGGTTGTGTTGTATTTTGTGCAATCTGCTTTTCCGTGTGTTTTGCATTCTGTTTTGGGTTGGATTGATTTCTCAGGCCTTGCGCGGATTGATATTTGAATGTTCTTTTGGGCGTGTTTTCTTTTGTTGCTGCCGGACTCTGACTCTTGGTTTTGCTGTGTTTGGAAATGAGCTTTCGGTTCTGGTGCATCTCGGGTTTGCTGGTGATTCCGGAGTTCATGTGTTTGCGGTGATTGTTCCTGCATGCCGGCTCTTTGTCTGCTGTGCTGCAGCCAGGGTGCTGATGTACGACCATGGCGATGTGTGTAAGTCTCATGCGACCCATGATGAAAACGACTGAAGCGAGAAAGATGAAACTCAGACTAGCGTGACAAACGAAAAATGTTGGTTCTGTGACCTACATGTCCTTAGCAGCATGTCTATCGCACGTGAGTGCGGCACTTAGTATTTCCAGTCCGCGACACCGACGACGACTACGAATAGGACAAGCAACGACAATGACTGATGAAACTTGGGCTGGACTGATTAGACCTGTATCTCAGGCAATACCTGTACTTTCATCGCACCTCATCCGCTACAGGCATTCTTGTTGTTTTGAAGTTTTACATTAAGACCGATATCAACAGCACTAGGCTTCACAGCCCTTCCACCCCATGCACAATCACCTTCTCAACTGTCCGTGGATTTGGCTGAAGAACGTTACGAAAGGATGTCGAAGCTGTCAATTGCCACCGGACGATTGGATGTACCTCGTGTCTAGACTCTAGACTCTAGACTAGGACTAAGGCTAAGCTGCCAAGCTGAACCGAGGCCCAGCGCTTGTTCCTCACGCGGGACCAAGCACGTATGCTGAACATCCGGACCAATAGCTTCAGCACTTTAGTAGCTCAGGTCACAAAGCTAGCAACTTGGCAACCGGTCGTCGGCGGCATTAGTAGCAGCAGCATCAGCAAGAGCAGTAAGAAGTAGTAGTGTAAAGTAGGGACAGCAGTAGAAGAGAAAGGAGCATATGCATAGCAAGCAAGACCTCCCAAGCCCATTCAGAAAGTGCTACCTCTTGCAACATAGTTGAAGCCGGAGAGGCTGTAACACTGCAGACCGTCAACATCCCATCGATCGCACACCCACGGGTTTTGCCACTCAAGAAAGCGCGAAGCTTCTCTTGTTTCGCAGTTCCTGCCCCCACGAAAAAAACACACGCACTGCTACGGCTGTGTGCGTTCATGGGAACAGCCCTGCAGAGCAGTAGGGCCGTCAGCTGCTTTGCAAAAGGAGGCTAAGGTCTACAGGGCTAGGCAGCTAAGGTGGTGTCGTCGATGGACATGATATGGTTTAAGACAACTCGCACAGCTTTGGCCACGGGTCCCAGCATGCAAAATCTTGTTGAGTTGGGCTCCTAGTAAGCGAATCTTTCACTCAACCGCTCACCTCATTTGCCCTGCGCATGATCACGGCACAGATGTCATCTTCTGTGATGCCAAACGAATTACTGCTGATGAATGCCTTCTGCAAGCTGATGGCACTTCTGGCTTTTTTGTGGTCTCCAGTGCTACTGTCGATTTGGGACACGGCCTCGAGGAGCAAGGATTCCAAAACGATGACCTTGGCATCCTTCATGTGCGATGCGGCCATCTCCAACGCAAGACTGCTCAAATTGTCCAGCTCACTGGATACATCTGGCTCCGAAGCATACATCTTGTGGAACTTGTCCAACTTGTCGAACTCCTGACAGTCGAAGAGTATAAGAATACTTGAAAGAAATAAACCAATTGTATCATGGAGGTGGTTACACAGGTGGCTTGAAACCCGGAAATGCTGCAAGGCATGCATACTCTACTCACTCTACTCTACAGTTACAGGGTTCAGCTGGTGGTTAATCAGACCGTCTGCAGACTTTTACGTTACACTAGACACAACTTACCTACACTGCATACTTCCACATCTCGGGCGCACAGTGAAGCCAGTGACGGGAAGTTTGCGCGAGCACTGCTTCACTAGCTGGTCTCCAAACAACATCAGTGACTGACTCGCCTCTCACTCTCCTAATTCTACTCGATCGCTGGACTCGACTGGAATTCTGCTCACACTGCAATCAGCAAAATACAGAGACTGAAGCTCGATGGAAAAACCAACTCAACTATGTTATATTGCATCTGGACCATGTGACAACGAAACCAAAAGCGTCCTGCTGGAAGAGGTTGCAGAGCTGCCGAAGCTTTGAGCCGTCCAAGAGCTGAATGGTGTCGCCGGCCACACGGCGCACCGTTTGCCAGTCTGCCTCTGCCAGATCCTTCTTCCAGGATGCGACATCCTTGATGGTACCGGACGCCTGGTCTGCGATCTGCGTCAAACTGTGCTTGAACTCCTCAGCGACGTGGAGCACACACTCGGTATGGGCGGTGTCTTTAAGGAAAGCCTCGGCATCGGAAGCATTGAAAGTGAGGACATAGCCCAGGTCTTCAAGCCCAAACGCGTTGCGGATCCGGGTCATCTTCTCCACGGCTTTGCGAAAGGCATTGCGCTGGTGCACCACCAGCTTCTGAAGGGCCTCATTGGTGTCCTTCTTGCATCTGGCACTGGCACTAGATCCCAAGGCCATGAGCTTCTTGCCTGCAGACTTTAGCAGGAATGCAGCTTGCAATGCACTGCCACACTCCTTCACGAACTCGGTGCGCTGCTGCATCTCTTGGCCGGCTTGGCCAAAACACAATGCAGCCATTGACGTGACGGCTGGCCAAGAGCTCTTGAGCGGGCTGGCGTCACCGTCCCCACAGACCTGCACTGCAACTGACATAATTATCTGATCGGGCCAAGGTCTAGGAGTCTAGGGCCTACTCACGGAGTTGCGGGAGTCCGTTTGGGAAATTATGGCACGGGTTACACTACACTTAGGTGAGATTTGTCAGTCCGCGGAAGGTTATCGCTTCAACTGACAGACTGACAGACCAATACAAACGCAATCTACTAGTCAGCACTGTCCTGCGCGGACAAACACTGCACCATGAGCAGCAGGAAGTGGTCCGCAGTCTTGCCATCGAGATTCTCCGGGAGCTTCTTGCATCGCTTGACAAGCTCAGCAGCCTTGCCAAAGTCTTCAAAGCTGATGGCACCCTCCGGCACGGTTGCTTCCATGAGGCTGCACAAATCAGTCCCAGCGATATCTGCGACTTTTGACGTCGCCATCCCCCGCAGCTGCTGAGACAACGAAAGCACACCGGGCTGCGCTGCGAACACTTGCAGCCCACGAAGCAGCATGTCCACCAGAGGGGTGGAAATCTCCGTGCCATCTTCTGCTTCCAGGAGAAGCTTAACCTTTGCCGTCACCATGCTCAGCAAATCCTCTCCCATAGGCTTGTGCACGATCTCGCGTGTCCCGGCGGAAACTTCGATGTAGAGGTCAATGGCCGAGCTCATGTCGCCACTGGACAATTCCTCCTTCTCAAGCAACCCTTGCAACTGCTCTACTTTCGGCTGCAGCAAGATGCTGCGACCGGAAACCTTTAGAATGCTCTGCACCTCCTGCGTCCACCACTCGTTTGTGTTGCCGAACCAACTTTTCCATTGGCGCTCCAAGGGTGCACGCCCTGCGTAGGCCACGAAGAACTGCACGTCTGCTGCCTTTGGCTGGCTCAACTTGGGATCAGGGTTCACATTCACGATGTGGCACACAGCTCGAGCGACACGCTCCAGGCTGTCGAGTGCTTCAACAAAGGGCGCCGCCGCGGCGATATCCACCAGCTTCTTCTTCAACGACTGGCCAAGGGGTCCATTGAGGTCTTCCAAGATTTTCTTGAAGAGGGATCCCAGAAGCTCGCACGCATGTTGCCCCAACTTCACCATTTCGGCCAAGTCGTCCCCGTAGAAGAACGACAGGAGGTGCTCGGCGAAGTCCTCGTAATGTTGTAAAGAACCCTGCTACGAAGCTTTTGCTGCAATATCCTAAACACAATGTTTGCTGCGGCTGCTACGGCTGCGGCTACACTGTTACACTATATCGCATGCATCCATCTCCTAGATTGCAACGATGACAGTGGTCTCGCAAGAGCAGCCATGCCGAGAAAGACATACAGCACTTTAGTACTGAACCGTCACCGTCCTCGAAGTTCCGCCGGAGCAACAAACCTTGCTTGGTGGACACCGTGCCCTGATCCGTGTCGTCGGTGTGCGACAACAGCTCCTCGATATCCATGAACTCCTCCGCATCATCGGGCCCCTCGGACGTACACTGCTGCAGGAGGCGGGCCAGCAAGGCCGCGAATTCCAGCTCCTCTCCATCGAAGCCTGTCGGTTCCAACTGCATGGCCCGGGAAAGCTCGAAGAAGTCTTCCAAGGCTGCGAAGATGCCCACGAGACCAGGAACCAACGCCGTGCCTTGCTGCTGCACCTGCTCCTGCAGCTTGGCCAGGCCCCCTCGCAGAATGTGCAGACCACGGCACGCGATGACACGGGCCTGCATTTCAACGGTGTACTTGGGCCACAGCTCCCTGGTGCCTTCCACATTCTCCGCAATTGTCTCCCAGTCATGGTCCGAGAGGTTCTTGGAGCGCATGAAGACGCAACATTCGCACAGGATGATCCGTTGTTCCAGCTTCTGTGCGGCCGTGCTCTTTTTATTCTTCTCCAAGTTGTCGTAGATCTTCTTCGCCTCAGGCAGTATTCCGAGATGATCAGGAACACGCATCAGAAACACGATGAGGGGCGGTCGAGGGGCAAAGCGCGAGCACCCCTGAATGTGAACGGGTTGGTTGGGGTTTCACACGGCTGGCTCTTTTCGGGGTTCGGGCCAGGCTTGCTATTTCTTGGAAGGGGGGGGGCAT